ACCGCGGGGGTCAATCCGCGGCGCCCCCGGGGCCGGCGCTCACCGTGCACCACGCGCCCGGGGCCGGCTCCGGCACCATGCATGCGCCACGTTCCCGGGGCCAGGCCAGCTCTGAGCACTTGGCGGGCGCAGACAAATGCCCCCGCAGGCGCCATGGCGCCCGTGGGCACCGTGTTGGGGACCACGGGTCTATAAGGTGCCACAGGACTCCTCGCCACATTTGAACAATGTTCTTTAGTCTCTTGACATCCATGGGACTACTGACTTACTTAAAGCTAAGGATGTGCTGAAGGGCTTCTCTACACAAATATTCAGTATGTAACAAGTTGCTGTATAAATCTACCCTGTACTAACTTCACAAAGATTTTCCATGTGCAGCCATCTGTTAGTGTGCTTTGATCTTGTTTCAAATAGGATTAGATCAAATTGTACTAACAGATTGTTTAAGGGCATCAGCATGGTTCATGAGGACAGTTAGTCCACAGGAAGTTAATGCTGGGCAAGTTCACACCTGAGATGGGTACAAATTAATAGTGTAGATAATCCTGATTAACTTGTTGAATTGGGACCAAAATGTTCATCAATTTAGCACAGTGTTTGCAGGAACAGTCAATAAATGGATACAGGTACGAAATCTAACTAATGTGCATCATGAAACTGAGCTCCTGAACAGACTGAATTCATGGCTAGCCATTTTAGGCTAGTTCTAGTCAATGACTGAGCTGTGCAAAGTAAATTCAATGGACCAGGCAATCTGACTATTAATATGTACTTTAAGATGAGCAAGGTAAATTAGGTGAAAAATAGAATATAATCCAGTGAATTTTCAGTTACTCCTATTGCCTCAGCCAGAAACAATGAAACTTCTGTGAACACCTAGTCTACCTCAAGATTGTGTGGACATAAAACTGGTGGAAAGATACCTTTTCCTCACGCTTCAGTCCTATACCATGCACAGTTTGACCTCACCAGAGAACTTGGGCTATAGTTTATTATCTATTAAAATGTTAATAAAAGGGGTCACATGATCTTATAATATAAAGCAAAAATACTAGAAAACAGGATAATCCAAATGCTGGTTTGCTTCTAAGGTAGGCAGATCCCAATGGTGACTTTGCTCATGAGTCAATTTCTAGAGGCGCAATGAACTCAGCTAAAAACAAGAAGTGATTACATTTGCTGCAAAATGTTTAAATTATTATTGAAATAAAGAGGAAAAGTTACTGTGGTTAAATGTGAAATGATGAACATTGCAAAACTGTCATGAGAAGTCACATGTTAAGTTACCACAACTCATCATCTTGAAATATACTGTAATAATGAACATTACTTACCACTAGTCTAATAGCTGTCTCTATGATCTCAGGAGGTAAGTTACAATAAAAGATTCCCACCTTTGGGTCCAATTTTTCAGAATAAAGCTACAGAATATTTGGACCTTTGGGTCCAATTTTTCAGAATAAAGCTACAGAATACTCTCCTAATTCTAATTTTAAAGCTACTAAACTACCTCATCAATAAGTAGCATCTACTGAGGAATTGCACTGGTCCCAAATACCTTAACAAGCAAGCTCATTTTTTTGAGGAGGGTAATAATAAATATTGCCAGGGAAAACATGCTGTATAGTCATTACGGTCAATAAATAACTACACGGGAAACAAATATTTAAAAATGGGCTCTTCAGTCTAGTGGAGAAAGATCCTTGGATTCACTAAATAACAATCCCGTGAATAAAGAAGCAAGGAATAAAACTTTTATTAAAAACCTTAAGAGAATCCATGTTGAACTGTTGTATTCAGTTGCTCTTTGTTCTCAACCTCTCTGCTTCCAGGGCATATTTCAAAATTCCAGTATTCATAACACTGTTCCTTTTGAGTGAGCCTCTCTACATTCTAATATTTCACAAATATACCACCACAGATATAACAAGATCCAATGGCCGGAAATTGAAGCAGGGGAAATTCAGACTGGAAGTAAGGCATAAAAGTTTAATGGTGAGAGCTATTAACTACTGGAACAATTTATCTAGGAACACAGTTTCTAAACCAATCACAGTTTCTAAACCAAGATTGGATGTTTTTTCTAAAAGTAATATGCTCTAGGAATTATTTTCGGAAAATTCTATAGCCTGGATTATACAGGTGGTCAGACTAAATAGTCACAATGGACCCTTCTAGTTTTGTAATCTACAATGGGTCCCCAATATCTTATGGTCAGACTAAATAGTCTAGTTTTGTAATCTACAATGGGTCCCCAATATCTTTTTGGTTCCTTTGGCACTGACTAAAGTAATGTAAATAATAAAAAATAATTCAAAGAATAAATGATTCAACTCATTCACTATTCAAACTTATTGCTGACTAAGGCTATGTCTAGACTGCAAGCCTCTTTCGAAAGAGAGCGTCTAGACTGCACGTTGAACTTTCGAAAAAGCGGCTTGCTTTTTCAAAAGAAAGCATCCAGTGAGTCTGGATGCTCTCTTTTGAAGAAGCCCTATTTACATTGAAGAACGCCTTCTTTCGAAAGAGGAACTTTCGAAAGAAGGCATTCTTCCTCGTGAAATGAGGTTTACCGCCATCGAAAGAAAAGCCGCGTTCTTTCGATTTAATTTCGAAAGAATGCGGCTTGAGTCTGGACGCAGGGGAAGTTTTTTCGGAAAAAGGCTACTTTTCCCGAAAAAACCCCTCAGTCTGGACACAGCCTAAGTGTATATTCTTCCATATTACAAACTGGAAGCATACAGCTCAAAAGGAGGCTTGTTTTGCTGACCAAAAACTATGTGTAATGTACATTTTCAACACCAACAATAATTATTTAATATTATTAATTAGTATTGAGGCCTCAAACAACTTTTATTCCTCCATATCTTAAAATTTGAAGTTATTATCTCAAATCACAGAATTGTACAGCTACCTAGTGTTGGAATTTGGCAGCTCAGTTTCAATTGGTATATTTTCATGTGTAGGGTAAAAAGTTGGAACTCCACTAGTAACCTCCCTCCAGCCTGGTAGTTCATCTTGTAGTTTGACTGTGATGGGTCGTGCTCTCCCTGCACTAAGCAGGAGAAGGCTAACCCAGCCCTGAGAGCTGAGAAAGCCACACTCCCTTTGCCTTACTGGGCATGCTCAAGCTTCACAGCTATAAAAGGAAGCAGCTCAGCTTCGGCTGGTGGCTGGAGAGAGAGAACGGGCATTGCCAGCTCCAGGCAAATTGCAGTGACCACCCAAACACAGAGGTTCTACCATGCTGGCCGGACGCCAGATGCTCCCAGAGCCCTCACAGGTTCCAGAAGCAAGCAGGATCAGTCAGATCCCTGACAAAGCAAAGACGACAGAGATTCATGATAAAGCTGGGACAACTGTAGCAGGAAGCAGCCCTGGGATGGTGACAGCTACATGGAGAGTGAGCTACTGCCGGGAAGTCAGAGTGTTTCAGCTGGAGCTTTCCCCGCTGACTTAGTGACTAGAGAAAGCCACTGGAGTGGGAGGGCCTGGAACCCACCTGCTGCTGGATGTAAACCTTCCCCTATCAGCCATCCCTTGAGAGGTGAACACGCTCCCCCACGAGGAGGGTCGAGTTACTGACTGGGACTAATGAACTTCACTGCTCTTCAAATAGGGACAAGTTATAGACTGTTGCCATTGGGTTGCCCTGCCCCACAAGGAGGGACTAGTTTTAACTCAGACTACTGAAATGTACTGCCCTGCGAGTAGGGGCAAGTCAGTTGATCATAGCCATTGAGCCAAACTGTCCCATGAATTGTGGCAAGTTACAGACTCTGACCATTGGGCCACCTTGCCCTGGAGACTAAAGACTTTGGCGGGTGTAGTTACAGCACAAATCGGGGAGCAAAAGTGGAGAGTTTATATGAGTGCTTGGAGTAAGGGGGCCACCCTCACCCCGCACTTGGTAGGGTGTCCTCCCCATCCATGTTACAATGACCCATTGTAGACTCCCCTTTAACCAGTCCCAAACTTCTGCAATTCAACTACAGGTGGGACCTCCCTGGTCTGGCACCATGGGGACCTGACCGGTTCCAAACAAGAGAATTTGCCAAACCAGGGGAGGTGTCCCCTATCACCAGCTCAAGCCAACCAGCCCCCTGCCTCTGGCTCCCTCTATCTCTTCCCCAACCGGGCTGTGTGCCCTTTTGCCATGCCCTACCCCCACCCCTGGGCTGCCATGGGTATCTGGGGTTCTCCAGCCCCAGGCTACCGCAGGCTGCCATGGTTCACTGGACCCATGCTATTGCAGGTGGCCATGATTTTCCGGTCCCGTGCTGAATCCATTTCCATACCATCAACTGTGGATCTGATACCTGTCTGTAGTCAGTTTGTTGATCTAGTCATTATCAGAATATAGCTTGTGTTGCCAAGCAGTCTGGATAAACAAGTGTTTTATGTACTTTACAGGAAATGTAATTGTTTTCAAATGTATGTATATTTACCCAGATTCATTTTAATCAGCAGTCCTTACCTGGATTTTAAAGTTATAACAGATACTTTATAAACAGGGTATCTCTAGTAAAGCTATTTTTAAAAACCAGTTGATAACAACTATTCTTTAAGATTACAAAATGACAAGAAATATATTAATCTGAATATCATGTTAAAATATACAGCCTGTCACCAGAGGTTTGGGTAGTTTGCAATTAAGTATTCTTGTATGTAGCAAATTTACCAGGTCCAGGAAATAGTAGGGGGGACAAAATGAAAAATGTTCTAAGTGTGGGAAACTTTAATTGTTTGTAATTTAACACAATGTTCCTCCCATCATGGTCCATTGACCATCGGAACTCTGTGGAACATTTTTTAGTGGTGAACAGATATTTGGCACCATTAGGCCAGCGAGCTAACAGGCATGAACAGAAAGTTAAAATATATTTTCCTAATCATACTTTTCTTGTCAAACAATTGCTGGAGTTGCTGCAAGGATTTTATATGATCACAAATGATAGAGATGTTCAGAGGCTACTCTATCAAAATATGGTCCATACTATAAAATGTTTGCGATCTTCCAGGGTCTATGATCAGAATTTTTTTAAATCACAGTTCTGAGTGTGAAACATTACCTGTGGTTGCAAACACTTCCCATCATCTGCTTTTTAAAGTAGGATGTTATAAGACTGAAAAAAAATCTAACCTGTTCCAGATGGAAAAGTACGTTAGCTATATGCAGAACTCTTTCCACAGTCTTCTCGGGATCTGAAGTATCTTCATTCCTGTTTGGTAAATCTTTGTAAAGGGCCATCTGCCACCTAATGGCAGGATCCTCAAGCTGCAAGAACAAAAGATATTCCACATATAATCTAAACAAAGTATTCAAAACACAAGGGTCAAACAGTTTATGAAGTACTCTTAAACATTTCTTCAAAGATAACAGAAGGTCGATTCCTTTTGCTAAACCTTTCTTTTTGAGTGACTAACTGTAGTAACTGGTAGTACCGAAATGTGGCACTGTTCCTCATAAAACAATGGGAGGATGTATGCAAACAGAACTACATGGCTACTTTTGTGCAGAAAGTTTGTTGAACACTTAGGCTACGTCTACACTGGCATGATTTTCCGGAAATGCTTAAAACGGAACAGTTTTCCGTTATAAGTATTTCCGGAAAAAGCGCGTCTACATTGGCAGGATGCTTTTCTGGAAAAGCACTTTTTCCAGAAAAGCATCTGTGTCAATGTAGACGCGCTTTTCCGTGAAAAAGCCCCGATCATCATTTTCGCGACTGGGGCTATCGTGGAGGAACTTTCTGCAAGGAAGAAAACTAGCCTTCCCACAAGGAAAACAGGATTCACTGGCTTTCTGAGAGCCAGTTGAGACAAGTAGCTTCACAAAAATAGGAATATGTCCTAACATAAGAGATCCTTGATCACTAGGCTTATGTTTCTCACACCTAGGTGTAAATTTTGAGCAAGAAAAACAGGCAACTGTAGGAGCAAAACAAGCAATCTGTCATTACCTCTTACAATAGAAACATGATTTTTGAAAGTGTTTGGGATACCTGAAGCCTTAATATAACTAGTTAGTAAACTCAGAGTAACATCAAATTACCTACAAAGATAGTTATGTTTATTTTGAAAACTGTAAATGAGCTTCAGTGTAATTAATATCAGGCAAGTCATTCAAATATAGCATTTTAAGTGTTAATGCAAAGGAATCTTTGCTTTTACAGTAAATATTATTTAAGAAAATAACACTACATGGCTACTTTTGTGCAGAAAGTTTGTTGAACACTTAGGCTACGTCTACACTGGCATGATTTTCCGGAAATGCTTAAAACGGAACAGTTTTCCGTTATAAGTATTTCCGGAAAAAGCGCGTCTACATTGGCAGGATGCTTTTCTGGAAAAGCACTTTTTCCAGAAAAGCATCTGTGTCAATGTAGACGCGCTTCTCCGCAAAAAAGCCCCGATCATCATTTTCGCAATCGGGGCTTTTTTGCAGAAAAGAAATCTGTGCTGTCTACACTGGCCCTTTTCCGGAACAGTTTTCTGGAAAAGGACTTTTGCCTGAACGGAAGCAGCATAGTTTTTCCGGAAAAGCACTGATGATTTTACAGTAAATCGTCAGTGCTCTTCCGGAAATTCAAGGGGCCAGTGTAGACAGCTGGCAAGTTATTCCGGAAAAGCAGCTGATTTTCTGGAATAAGTGGCCAGTGTAGACACAGCCTATTAGGCTTTGTCTACATTACTCAGCTTTTAGCACACAACCATGTCACCAAAAGTCAAGCAGTGTAGCCTCTGGTTTTTGGCACTTTTGTTGACAACATAATTCCATCCCCAATGAGCAGAATGTGCACTGTTTATACTAGCAATTGTATCTGGCACAACTTTTTTCATTTGGAGGAAAGAGGAGTACCTCTGAACAACAAGTCTACATCTACACTACAGGCTTTTTGCACAAGAACGGCCCTTATTGCGCAAAAACTTGAGGAGCGTCTACACTGCATGCGTGCATAGTTCTTTGAGGACTGATTAATTGCAGCAGAGAGGTTTTTTTAATTAAGAGCCTGCTGCTTTCTAGCACGCCCTTTTGGGTAATTGGGTAATACTCTAGTTTAAACCACTATTTAAGAAAATAACACTGCTATCGTGGAGGAACTTTCTGCAAGGAAGAAAACTAGCCTTCCCACAAGGAAAACAGGATTCACTGGCTTTCTGAGAGCCAGTTGAGACAAGTAGCTTCACAAAAATAGGAATATGTCCTAACATAAGAGATCCTTGATCACTAGGCTTATGTTTCTCACACCTAGGTGTAAATTTTGAGCAAGAAAAACAGGCAACTGTAGGAGCAAAACAAGCAATCTGCCATTACCTCTTACAATAGAAACATGATTTTTGAAAGTGTTTGGGATACCTGAAGCCTTAATATAACTAGTTAGTAAACTCAGAGTAACATCAAATTACCTACAAAGATAGTTATGTTTATTTTGAAAACTGTAAATGAGCTTCAGTGTAATTAATATCAGGCAAGTCATTCAAATATAGCATTTTAAGTGTTAATGCAAAGGAATCTTTGCTTTTACAGTAAATATTCTTTTTAAAATGTGACAGTGTTTATTGGTTCCAAAAAGAAAGTTCTTTAAGGCTGTGAGACACAAGTGCTTAAGGAGAACAAGTTTTGAAATTCAGGGTTATGTTGTATTTAATTTGAAGTTACAATTGTAAGTACACTTTTTTATGTGCAGCTTAAAGGAACAGTTTGAAAATATAGCTTCTAGTGATGAGAGATGCATATTGATTTAGAATAAACTTCATTAGCTTTGGTGAGCAAATATTATGTATTTCCCTCTTCCTCCTGGAAACCATTTACAAATGGGAAAAAAATACATGTCACTGAAGAGTTTGTCAATGGAATATCCACTCTTTTACTTTAGATTCAATGAGGTTATTCTCTCCTTTATCACCAGGACAAGCCTGGATTTCATTAATAGGAGAAATCAAGAAATCATTTTCTTCCAATGAGTTTTAAGTAGAGGACACAGTATACTGAACAGCAGCAGACTTTAGTCTAAGCAAAGGAAGTTTCCTGAGTGAAATCATAGGCTGAGGTTGTTAAGGCATACCATATTTTAGCGAATATACCCCACACCCATATATCCCCCGCACCCAAATATACCCCACGGTTTTTGCAGTTTGAGTAAAAAAAATCTTGTATAGCCCATGCACGAGTATAACCCGCAGGGAATACAAGACTTTTTTTCAAAGTGGGGGGCTTCTATGGGTCGGGGTCGGGGGGAATTAGCCACCCTCCGGATGGGGGAGCACTCACCCCCCTGGGTCCCGCGTGGCTGCACAACCTCCAGGTGGGGGAATGAGAGTGCTCCCCTGCCCCTTCCTGCAGCTGCGCAGCATCTAGCCTCCGGGCAGGGGAGCATTCATCTCCCAGTTCCTGCACAGTCACAGGACAGGGGAGGGGGAGCGCTCCTGTGCACCTCCCGCCCCTTCCTGTGGCTCTGCTGCCTCTAGCTTCCAGGCAGGGGAGCACTTATCTCCCAGTTCCTGCGCAGCAGCAAGAGGGGGCAGGAGGAGCGCTCCTGCACAGGAACTGGGAGATGAGCGCTTCCCCACCCGGAGGCTGGCGGCTGTGCAGTGGGGGAGCACTCATCACCAGGTGAGTAAATAAAATCTTGTGTACCCTGCACCCGAGTATACCCCGCAGGGGGGTATGGGGTTTGTAAAAACGAATATAACCCACGGGTTATATTCACTAAAATACGGTAGTTGGTAACATCAAAATGGAGTCAGGGTTTTAAAAGGGAATTCAAAATGGAACCCGTCATGAGTGACAGAGACTTTGTGGCCAAAACACCTTTGCACACAGCACCGTGGTTATGAGCATGGCACCAATTATGTGCACATGCCACGGAAATCTGCATAAGGCACGTAGACTTTGCACACATCATTCTACTTTTCTACACACAGGACTCTAGTTGTTTTCCCGCCTTTGAACTCATAAATACACTGATTCCTGAAAGGATCGGGTTGGTAGTTCTTCATCACACCACGGAGGAGAGTCGTTTGCTACCTGGGAGCTTTGGCAAAGGCCGGGACCATCTCAAGTTACAAACAGACTTTCATCCCACTGCCACCATCACGGTGCTTGGATCCACTGTTGTGGCAACTGCCCAGCACAGTGAGTCCATAGCTATCTGCGTCCCATATCATTGGACATCAACCGCATGAAGCGAGATCTGCTTATTGTGGTGAAGGCCATCTGCAGTACCGGAACAGCTTCGTGATTACCGAGCAGCTTTGTTTCCCATCGCGAAGGTAAGGATCAAGCAAAGACAGACTGTTTGTTTACCTTACCAACTCACCTGCTCTAACATCACTGAGGTTTACATGCCTAAGGACTCCTCAGAGTTCCTCCCCTATGGTTGTCCATAGCCACAGGGTAGAAGGTCCTGAGCACCTGTTCCTGTGCCATCGGACTTCTGACTGAGTACAGTATTCCACCGTTAACCTATGGTTTTATCTTTGCTATCACCTGTTATATCGGAGGGAGAAGGGCTGGAGTTGTTCAGTATTGATTCATTTTTATTGACTGTCGTGTTTCACCTATTGTGTTTTACAATATATTTCTGTTAAATTTGTAAGTGAGTCTGTGTTTATTGGAATCTGTAAAATCCGCCGGTGATTAGATACGGCAGGTTCCAGGGCGAACCCTCTTCTGAATCAAAGGCATTATACCACCCTTCCAGATCAGGCCCTATATTTAATACATTCTAGTCTGTTAGTGTGCCTTTGCTAACAAAGTGAAGGTATTAGTAAGTGTTATGATCTTACGTCAGAGAAGCAGTAATGAATGCAAACATCTTAACAGGGGCATAAAGAATGCAACTCGGAAGAAATGAATTGGAAATTAAACACAAAAACTACTTGAAATGGCAGACAGAGGTAGAAATAAGCATGAAATGAACACCATTTAGAACTGGGGAAGTAACAGAACGACAGGCTATATGGTATGATAGTATCAGGACAGAAATACCTTTTCTCGTTAAGGAAAAAAACACTGCTCAATTTTATGCATGAAATTAGGCAATAAACACAATAATTTGACATCTGCCTGGTCATTTAACAACCATTTTGCATGAGATTACTAAAGATCTCCACAGCTCCCTTTTTTCATTGCCTTATTAGAATGCATACTCCTCTTTGCTCTTTAGAGTTAAATAGCTTTTCCATATCTTAAAAGGTCAATAGCTAAGGCACTTTCTGGTATAGAATAAGGTACTGCTCCCTCTGGGGAAATTGGGAATCTCCTGTATCAAGTTATATAAGCTTCATTGTCTAGTCCTAGAGGATCAACAAGATATTGGACCTTAAACATTTTGTTTGTTTTTAAATCATTCTAAGATAGACACCTTAGTGTTGTGAGAATCACAATATTCCCAACATCCATATAATCATACATCATTACACACTTGCATACTAAACTAACTACAACTAACAAAGTAAGAAATATTATAAAGAAGATTTAAGGTAATTTCAAACTCACTTAAATGATCTAGGAGCCTAAATCCTATTTTCAAAAGCATCTTATCAATTTAAGTGCTCAAGTCCATAGGCTTTCAATAAGACAAGCCTCTTACATGACTTTGGTACATAAACTCCTATATTTCACTGATTGTCACTGAGCCAAAATTATTTAAAAAATGAGACAGTCTACCAAATCTCTGGGCTCTTGACTTCTTTTCTTAAGTGCCTAAATCACTTTTGAAAGTGGGATTCTGGATCCTAAGCCACTTACAAACTTTTAAAAATTTATTCCAATCACTCCACAAATGTGCCAAATACTCTCTCTCTCTCTCTCTCTGTGCCTAAGTTAATACTATAAACCCTTCAACAGTTTTTATTAGGCCAATAATAACTAGAGTCCAATGTGCTCTTGACACCCTCTATTCCAAGGGCTGCAAAGCAGGGACAGCGTGGTATCATTACAGCAACTCTTTACCAGTCGGAGAACTCCTTTATACTGTGAGTATTCCAAAAGGGCTGGCTCCTCTTTATACCTCGAAGGACATGAAGAGGCCTCAGCATACTGCAGATTCTGGCCCCATTACTGAATGGCAGCTTACAAACAGAGGAGCTTTTTCAATCTTAATTGTTGCATTGCTATTCACTCTGAGCATATCACATCATTCTAAACCAGTGTTTCTTAAACTGTGTTCCGTGGCACGAGGCAGTCGGAGGTGTGCTATGGAGAACAACAGAATTCAAAATGGCCGCCCTTAAAGGGAAAGGCAACCTCCCCCTCCCCCCCAATAACTGTCCTCCTGACCCTTCCTCCCACTTTTTTTTTTTTTTGTCAACAAAAAAAAATCCTTGGTGTTCCTCATAAAAAAATTGTTTGTGTTCCTCTGTCTTAAAAAGTTTAAGAAACACTGTTCTACATTCTGTAAATATCGTTTAAGGCAGTGGGGCTTTGGAGGCCTGAAGACTGAGCTTATTACTTCCAAAGGAGTCCATAAAAAAAGGGTAGACACCTATTGATTTAAGGAGTCAACGTGATGAAATAAGTGATTCACCCTAGAAGGCCCTGCACTATTAAATACCAGATACACACTGTTAATATAAACATATCAGTGGCCAACTAATCTGAATTTCTGGCAAAACATTTGCAAATAGTCTTTTTGAGCAAACCAGACGGATTGCTGGGTGCATAAGAAAGGAGTAACATGTAGGCAACATCTAATAAAGCCAAGAGGCTTGACAGTCTAGAAAAAGGGTATTCCAAATACACATTGACTGGTCTTGAACAACTGAATGGTTCCTATTTGTTTTATGAAAAAAGAAAAAGAGCGTACTTAAATATTGGCTTTAAATTACCTTGCTCTGCAGATGCAGATTGCTGTGGATAATATCCCTAACTTCATCCTCAGTGTCTTTCTGTGAAGGAAAAATACATTGTATCACATACATCATACAGAGTATGCATTTAAATAAAGCAATTACATTGTGTTAAATGGGGATAAACTAGGCTGTGCACATTCTGTGAAGAAATATTCTCTAGGGATTAAGACAGGGGTCAGCACTCAATTGTGCTGCCTGAGGGAGCTGACAGCTACTATGTACCTCAGGTTAACCAACAAACTGTACCCTGGGGATAACTACATCAGCCTATCCAGTGGGCATAAAGTGGGGGTTAAGTATTATTCACATCAAGTACTCAGAATATCCTCAGACGGAAAGCCCTATATAAATGTAAAGTAGTATTTTGATGACATGCTGTTCAAACACTGGGCAAGATTATGACTTCTACTCTTCTCTAATGTAGGCAGTGGCTTACAGGGAGATGCATACATATTGTGCTGGACACAGATACAATAACTGCATGTATTTGGAAAACAAGAGCATAAGGTAGACCCTATATACATCCTCTCTCAGATGTGTGCTCTCTTTGCATCTGTGCAGACCCAACTGTTCATGTCAGTGTGGAGGAAAGAGAGGTTTTGGACCGTCCTTGTCCTTACTCTCTTTAAGGCATCTATCACCACTGTCCACATGGGTCCCCTCCCTCTCTTTATTCTTACCCACCAGTAATGGAAACGCTAGGCTTGTGTCTGGACCTGACACCAAGTGGAACTGAAGTAAGGCTCCTGGGGCCTACCTCTTAAATATCTCAGCATGGCTAAATACATTCTAGCTGTCTAACCCTAGAGAGCCACCATTTATATCTTCAGTTACATTTATATCCATCTGTCATCATTAAGCCCATTACACAGTAAACTGCATTAAAATCGCCATCTTAAATACAGACTGGAAAAAAATCAGTATAATGAATGGTAATGTAGAGAACTCTTTGTTGCCCACTCACCACTAAACAGAGGAGGAAGGTCTTCTCAGAATTGTTTCCTTCTCCCTCATCAAAAACTTGTTATTTTTTAACAGCTGTCTGAAGGTTATGTATGCTTCCATGATATCAAAGTGCAGCAGTTTCGCTAAACTATGATTATACTTGCCAAACAAAACTACTTGACTGTGGAATCATCCCTAGAAGTACCATCTGTACGGCAGTGAAACCTCCAGGCTAATATAAAACTATGTAATCAATAAGGAGTGGTCACAAGTGAAAGTAGTGGTGTATTTGGGAATCAGTCATGTTTCCCAAATATCTAATTAAACAAAGTTTAATATCTATTACTAGCAATCTTTCATGAAAAAAATCAAGTAAGATAACTGTATTATAATTTAACCAAAAAAAGTAGTTTAATCTTTGCCCCTAAAGCATAGTTAGAAAAAAATGCACGTACACAAAGGAAATTATCCAGAAGATGTATTTTCAGCAAATCAAAATAAAATGAAGAGGTGTGCTATTGCTGGGATTATGTCCACAAATCAATATCAAAATAATAATAAAAAAATTAAAGACTGAACAGATTTCAATTCTCTGCATTTAGTTCTAATAAAAAAATCTTACTGTTTTGTCTGCAGGGTTGCAAAAACACTCAGTCTCTCCCCTGCCCCCCAAAAGGTTTGAAAATCTCTCACATGTCTTACCTATCAATTCTGCTAGTTCTTTTAAGCATGATCACTAGGGCCTGAGTCAAACCCCACTGTGATCAATCAAAAGTCTCAATAGGAACAGGGCTCAATTATTGAGGGTAAAGGGGATTACAGCAGGAAAAAGCATGGCAATCTCACAGGACTCTGTTAGAGGAATAATGTGATGCCATTTTTCCACTGTCCCAGAGCTAAGGGGGGAAAAAAACACATGAGGAGTACCTACCATGCTGAATCTGGTTTTGGCCAGTGCAATTAACTCTTGGTCCCCAGGTGCACAAATATTTAGACCAATAGGTAGCAATCTTTTCAGTGCTGCAACAATGAGAGATGTCTGCACAGAATACCGGTCTCCCTTTCGTTTCATTTTCTTTCTCTCCTGGTCAGAAACAGCTGCCTAGGGCATATAGCAAATAAACCCGCTATTATTAAATATTTACATCTGCACTGACATTTTAATTTATATCTTTCTGCGGTTCTCTAGTTCTGACAATTTCATTACCACCTATCTAGCTCCATTTTCATCAATGGTATTGCTCATTATGCCACACTGCCTTGTGTTTCACCCCAAACCTGTATAAACATGAATACTTTCCACAACATGTCTTTTGATTTGATTACACACACACATTTCTCTTCCTATATATGACTGGATGCTGTTCTTCAAGAGATACACTTAGCAATAGTTCTTTTATGTCTTTCTTCAAGTTCCAGTCTCTGAGTCCTGCCTTCTATGAGTTTGTTGCTGTTTAACCTCCCTTAGCTTTTGTAGGGGAATCACCATAGTTCTGGCTGAAAAGAGGGTGAAAATAACCAAAGTACTAGATGGAACCATGGGAAACAGAGTATTTGCAGCAGAATTTTCTGAATGGAACACTAAAAATCATAAGCACATTTCTTCAAAAAACACAGCATTGTCTTCTGGACTGAATATTGTATTAATAATCAAGATATTCCAGTGCCAGTACTGCCACCAGTTTACAGTCTGTCTCAATGGACTTATATCAGCATAACGGAGACCAGAATTTGGCCTTCGCTGTTGGTGTGTTTTCAAAATAAATTCATTAACATTCATTTCATGGTTCGAATATGTAAAGTGTTATATAAAATGCTGAGTATTATTTTAATTATAACTCAAAAAGTAGAGCTGTGATTGGCTTTTATTTGATGCAATTTTGCAATGTAGAAAATGACAAAAATATGTGCAATTAGTAGGTCATAGAAGCTGGATTGTTTAGCTGTCTGGAATTTCAAATAATCATATGCATTTCAAAAGACTGCACTCAATAGTATTCTTCTGTTTGAAGAAACAAACAAACATAAAGGAATACATAACAAAGAAGCCAATGAGTGAAAAATAAGCTATTGTATGAAATATTTGGCTATATATGTGAAAAATACAACTTGATTAATTAAATTCAATGTTTACTAGTTGATATGCAGCTTTTTTTTTTAAAAAAAAAAGTACCCTTTGAAGTGACACTTATTTTAGTGACTAAAAAGGAAATGGAGAACAAAACATACTGTTTCATCATAATAATGCCTTGTCTGAATCAGGGTGGAAAACAAAGAGCTATGCATCCAGTTTCACGTATTCAGAGTATGCTGTTACATTTAGAAACTTCTGACACTGTGATTAGAATTTGACACAATTTCTGGGATAACTGGTAGACATACACTGTTATAAACTAAACAAAAAAACCCTATAAAATACATGATAAAACTGCAGAGTTATGCTTCACAATTTGGCAATAACAATCTAATATTTCTACCTTATTAATTAAGGGTCATTAACACATACTGAGAATGGGAGAAAAGAAGACAATATACATAAAATATCCTGGAAACAGGAACTGGGTTTTAAAATATATTGACTGTGTTTCAGAGAAGACCTGATTGACCCAAGAAAGTAGATATACATGGAATCATAAGTCTGGAAGGGACAATGAGAGGTCATCTAATTCAGCTACCTGCACTCATAGCAGGACTAAGTATTGTCTAGACCATCTCTGAATGATGTTTGTCTAAATTACTCTAAAAAATCTCCAGTAATAGATTTCACAACCTCCCTAAGCAATTTATTCCAATGCTTAACTACCCTGACAGGAAATTTTTCTTAATGTCCAACCTAAACCTCTCTTGCTGTAATTTAAGTCCATTGCTTCTTGTCCTATTCTCAGAGATTAAGAATAATTCTTCCTCCTCCTTCTTGTAACACTCTTGCTGTGATGTAGAAGTGATAGAGGATACCAAGGTATACATATCAACATTTCTCCACAGAAGACAAGGCATTTGGACATTTTATTGAGTGAGGAGAGAAGATCACTAAGGGGAATAGGAACACAGGACCACACAAATGGCTATATTGGATTAGACTAATGGTGCATTTACGACTGTGTCCTATTTCTAATGCTGGAAAATATTAAAGGCTTGAACAAAAGATACTAGAATCCCAGGAAAGGATAATTATGTAAAAACCTACAGGGAGCAAAGAGGAAGTAAATGAAAAGTTAAGAAAAATTGTTTCTATTTTATAGTCAGATTCTTATGTAGCCCTGCTCACTCTAATATTTTGGTGCCTGGCAGAACTGCATTAAGACATGTGACTAGCATGTCATATATTACTCTCTTTTTGTCTTCCCCATTTTTTCTCTCTCGGGAATATTATGGGGGAGGGTGTTAAATATTTTGTGTCTACAGTGCTATGCATGTTTATTATTGAGGACCACATCAATGTGGAGAACCTTGCACTTGGACCACAAAGTTGTGATGTTTGTGAAAGTTCATTCCACTAATTTGGACTGGCCCCTGAAACATCTTTATCCCTGCAATGAGAGTTGATTTTCCTGATCCCTCTGTAGTTAGTGATTTGCTTATGCCTTTAAGGATGAGAGATTATATCCTTTATGCTAGGGCCAAAGTGTCTTACTGAGTTCTGCTCAGCACAGGAATCAAGGGTTGGGAAAGGTAAGGTGGCATTATATCATCTTTCTAAATCTCTCTCTCTCTTTTCACCGCCACCAAGTCTGGCTGCTCCAAGCTATAACCAGCTGAAATGCCTGCTCTCTTACCTTAATACTGGTAACTACACATATTTCCTGTAATTATAGTGGGGAATAATTCTAGAAATAGAAACCACATGCACACACTTTACCTATTGTAATAGGCACAACTGCATCCCATCATGCACCAAAAGCCGGATCCTGCATTGTTTGCCTATCTAGAACTCCTGGTAACTTCCATGGGATGTTGGAGTGCAAAACAATTAAGACTTAGGTCCAACACCAGTAAAGAACATGGATGAACTACTGTGATATGTACAGCTAGTGATATAATAATCACATGGCCTTTAAGCACCCCTGGTATTTCCATCCTCCCTAGCCAAAAGAAGAAGCAGCACCGGAGTGCATCTTCAGCACTACTAGAAGTTCCATCTAAAATGGATCTTTAAAGTTCACAGGAGCATTGAATTTAAGGGGCTATAAATGTGGAGACCTGCTATTACAACCTACATAATTAAAATGCTAAGAAGAGGGACAGCAAGACAGGATAACAAAATTTAAACTTTTCAGCTTATCGTACCTTTGACATCTTGGATTTGGTGTCACTAATAAGGAAAGACATGTTGTTGATTTCATTCTGTACCACAAAATTCTGCTCTTCCCTTTTGAAATTCTGAAATATTACACAGAAAATGAGTTAAAAGCACTTATTACAAGTGAGAACTCTGTCTGGGCACGTTTTAAATAATAAATATGAGTTCACTGGAATTCTGTAGATTCCACAAAGTTACAGTCTCTACATTTTGAATGGATACTCAAGAATATGCTCAATTCTGGCATTATTTACATCACAAAAAAACTCAGATTTGTATGCACTCTGAACCTAAAGTGGATCTACAGAGACATCCTCTGATATGAAAGAGATGTATTTTTATTTTTGGAAGGGTTTGATGCATTTTTGAAAAGCTATTAGGGAAAAGAGAAATAAGGCAAAGAACCATTAATGATATCAAAAGATACACTTGAAATTTTAGCCCTAGCATGTAGAAAGCTGTTCAGAAACTACTGTTGTACAGAAAAATATGACTGTGTAATGTAACTCAATTTTTATAAATGAAGCGAGTATTTGTATATCTGAAGTGAGTTTTAATGTTAATACTTTTCTCTAGCAACTACAGGAATATTATTTCCAACATAATATGAACATTTACATCTGATGAGCAAACAGTAGTATTTCAATAACCTGATCCATTGAATTTGCCCCTTTTCACATTTGCAAATAAGAATGTAATTACAAGTTTCTTGAATTGACAAAAGCTGTTTTTTTGGTGATTTTTAATGCGTTTTTCATTGTGAACAAAGAGCCCATTATGGATATTTGAAATTCAAGCTGTGTTAGCAATTGATGATGAGTCATATAAACCATACGACTTTAATTCTGGCTGAACTAGTGTAACTTTGGAAGAAGGTTTAAGGAAGCCACTTTTTCTTGTAATCTCCTGTACAGGTATTAGTTGATAGAGAGGCAGCAGATAAACAGGATTAAGGAATTTTAGAAAACTGAACACTTTCTATTATTGCCAATAAGACATCCTACCTAAAAGAAGTTGGATTATTAGTAAAATATATAACCTGAGTGCAGAAATGTAAAGGTAGCCATCCTGCAGCAAAAAAACTTCAGGACCAGACTTCAGAGAGAAACTGCTGAGCTGAAGTTCATCGGCAAATTTGACACCATCAGCTCAGGATTAAACAAAGACTGTGAATGGCTAGCCAATTAAAAAAGAAACCTCTATGGCTAAAATGGCCATCGGAACTTTCTTGGGCAAGAGAGCGTCCACACTGCCATAGATGCTCTTGTGCAAAAGCACAGCTCGCACATGGCAGTGTGAACGTGCTCTTGCGCAAGACTTCATGCACAAGAACTCTTGTGCAAGAAACCGCCAGTGTAGACATAGGCTAAGAGTTTCCCCCCATAAGCAAAATGAATTTTGTGTTTTGCACCAGTACTGAGTTCATGTGGCTTCTTTGGATGTGCCACTGTGGCACCCAAGTTATTAATAAATATTTTTAAACCTTTACCTTTTCTCTCTGCTACCATGTCTCCTTCCCTTGTTCCATCAGCTCCCCTGGTGCCTGCTGCCCCCCAACTCCTCACTCTCCTCTGCTGTCCTGACTTCTGTCCTTCTCACTGCCCTCAGCTCACCTGAGACCTGGCCCCCTCCACCAGCCCTTCTCTCCCCCTTGTGCCCACTCCTCCAGTAGCCCTACTCTGATCATGTGAGCTACCCCTCTTCATCCCCTCTCCTAACACCTCCCTCTACACACCTGCCCTGCCTCTCTCCTCTGGTGGTGGTCCCTCAACTGCAGGTGTCTGCCGTTCTGCCTTACCCCCAGAATTCCCTGGCACCTGCACCTTCTCTTACTCCTGCACTCTCCTGATGCCTTCCCCTTCCCTCACTGCTCCCGCGCCCTTTGCCCTCTTTTTCCCTGATGCCCACCCCTTCACCATCCTCTGCCCCCGTTTCCCTCATGCCCCTGTTCCCTTACACATGACTTGCTCCATCCCGGCCTTCCCTATGCCCACCCCTTCTTTCAAGCCTTCTCCCAGCACCTCCTCCTCCAGCCCTCAAAGCCCTTACCCTTTCCCCTTCCAGCAACACCTTGTCCCCCTCCCACTGACACCTCCCCTCCTGCCTTTTTCCTCATTGTCTGCACTTGGCCCCCTGGCATTTGTCTCTCCTCTACCCTGTCCCTTTGGTGCCTTCCCCTTTCTTTCCCCTCTCCCTTCCTCCTCCGCACAAGCCCCTTCCTCTCCCAGCCCTTCCCCTAGTTTTCTCCCAGTAGTTTTTAAATCCCGGGCAGTGACGTTACGTCACGCCCGGGTGTCTTCCTGTCCATTGGTTTGAGCATGCTGCTCATGGCAGCAGCAGCCGGCAAGGGGGAGCTCAACAGAGGTTGTGCACAGCAGGGACGGGACGGGGCTGGGACCGAGGGAGAGATGCTTTGGGACCGGGGTGGGAGGACGCACGCGGGGGGGTCCCTCCAGCTCCAAATATTGGTGGAGCCTAGGCACCACGAGCCCATACAACTCACCACCCATGGGCACAAGCCTGAGATATGTGACGCCTAGGTTCAAGTCCCTTCCGTTCCTGATTCAGAACACACACGTTCGTAAAAACTCTCAGTTTCTTTCTTACAAATTGGCATTTTCCAACAAAAATGTTTACACTGAAAATTTTCCAACCAATTCTAGTAATTACTCAGATCTTGAATTCAAATATTAGAAAGTGTCCATATTAAAAATAATCATGTAGTCTTGATTAGGTGGTCTAAAATACTACAACAAAATGATATACCTTTTCTTAGCTATTTTTATTTTATATCAAATATTGTAGTTGAAAATAAAAAGTTTACAAAATATGTTCTTCAGTTTTCAGACCTTAAATGATTTTCCACATAATAAAATAACAAGCTAACCTAGCTAAACTTCGATGCAAACCTCCAAGGCATAAAATCAATTACTGATGGCAATGACTTTGCTATACTCCACTGCTTACCTGCAGGCAAACAAATTTTCTAAACTCTATCAAAACTCTTTACATTTGAAAACTCTGACAGGTTACAATAAAGCGTAAACTTACCCAGTTTCAATTTCAAATATGAATTATATTAGATAGATGATTGTTTCCTCACATTTACATAGTGAAATGGAATAAAATGCAAAGAGCATCACAATTAGATTAAAAATAATTGCCTAGATATTATCACGCTGGTAAATCTGTCTTAGGTTTTTCTACAGAAAGCATCATTAAGTATCACAATCTACAATTCTGATCAAGCAAAGCACTCAAATGAGTCTGTAAGTTTAATCATGCTTATACTGCTTTTTACTCTTGCACACTTAGGATATGTCTACACTGCAGAGTTTTTGTGCAAAAATGGCTGCTTTTGTGCAAAAACTCACGGCGCATCCACACTACAAGCATGTTTTTGCACAAAAAAAAGTATAGTAGATTGTCAGAAGACAGGGCTTTCTGCGCAAGAGTTATTCCTCTTTCTACAAGGAATAAGCCTTTTTGCGCAAGAGCTCTTGCTCTTGTGTGGACGGACATCAGGGGCTTCTTGCGCAATAAACCCCTATCGGAAAAAGCACAGGTTCTCTGATAGCCATTCTGTGAATGGCCATCAAAGCTTTCTTGCACAAGAGTGTCCAGGGCAGTGTGGAAACTCTCTTGCACAAAAGCACATCTCTTGCACAAAAGCACATGGAAGTGTGGACGTGCTCTTGCACAAAAACTTTTTGTGGACGATCTTTTCTGCAAAAAGTTCTTGCGCAAGAAGCCTGCAGTATAGCCATAGTGAGCTGCATTCTTTTCTGAGTCACATATCATCACTGAAGTTCATAGCTTAATTCTTAATGTGCTGTCTTTGTTGCTTGTGTATAAGCTAAGGGGGAAGAAAAGCAGGCTGAGTGTTTCAAGAATGGCATTAAGAGGAATGCTCCTAACTTGCAGTTTAGCAAATCTCAGTTGGAAGTCCCCAAGGGTATGTTTCTGCTTCAGTTAGACAGCCATGAAAAGCGTGTGCCAGCTGACTTAGATTCACACAGCTTGGGCTGCAGGGCTGTTTAATTGCAGTGTAGATGTTCCTGCTCCAACTGCAGACTGAGCTCTGGGACTCCTTCCTCTAGCTTGAGCCCAAACACCTACACAGCAATTAAACAACCCCACAACCTGAACCCTGCAAGCCCAGCTCAGCTAGTATGGGCCAGCCACATAGGTTTAGCTGCTGTGCGAACATACTCAAGAGACTAATGTGGAATGCCAGGATGTCTTTTACAGTTACTCTGCAGAGTATAACCTTAATGTAAAATATACAGGCTACGTCTACACTGGCCCCTTCTTCGGAAGTAGGAATAAGAGATCCTCCGGAAAAGGGCTTTATTCCGGAGGATCGCGCCAGTCTAGACGCTTTTTTCCGGCTTTTCCCCAAGCCAGAAAAAAAGCGGCGGCC